GTATTTCGTATTAGTTAAAGAACAAGAACAAGTTGCATTTGCTCGCCAGAAGGAAAAAAAAGAATCTTGTGAGTTAGCTGACATGTTATGTCTTCTAGAATGAACTTATGAATACATTTGAACATATAACTCTTCAAGAATTTTTCTCGAAAAAGCTCTTAAATCTTCAAAGGCTATGTGTTCTAACTAAAACTAAAAAAGAAGCATGATAATTTGTAATGTCTAAGCAATAAAATGATTAAACTGAGATAAATTTCAAGTTGAATATATTAACCGAGATAACTGATTACCTTTTGTGAGGTAAAGTTTCTTTCTTTATTGAGTTAGTTAAAAGGTAAAGTTTCTTTCTTTATTGAGTTAGTTAAATAGGATCGGCATTTGTCATTTTCAGGAGTTTACATTTTCTCCTTAACTTTTATTTCTTAGTCAAACACAATTTTTCATATAATATTTATGAACTTTTTCAAATAATTTTTTTTCATTTAGATAGGATTCACGCGCAACGCACGTATCCTAAAACTAGTTATACTAAAAGTATGAAGCTTCTAACGTCAAACTTGATTTACCAAAATGCCCATAAAAATTGAATACCCATTTTATCCTCAATCAAAAATATTGTATACTTTATAACGAAATGCTACCATAATAAATTTATAAGCTACTAAACTTCTTTTCATGTGCAACGTATATGAGCATTGAAAACGAAAATAGTAACAGAACTGCATGGATAACATTAATTCAAGCAATCTTGAAGGATATATAGTTACTACTTATTTATTGTGATTAGTGATGGTAAGTCATATAAAAAGTAATTTTAAACTCTATATAGTAAGGAAATAAAATATATTGACAGGCTCAGAGTCTCTTCTCCTCCTCCATTCTTAGAATTACTACGTTCAATGATGACAATCATTTTATAACTTATCTGAATGTTGGATTGGTCTATATGGAGTAAAAAAAACAAGTTATTAGTGGAAGTGACACTACTTGGGAGCAATATGCACTATGATTTTGGCGTTGATTCATGGCTCATGAAAATGGATCAAACAACAATTCAGAGCATGCAAAGGCTAATGATGAGCCACTTTCAGTAGGTAAAACTAAAGATGCTCAGAGGTCAATTGACGAAAAGTAAGTTCTGATCTAGTGTAGTCTAGAATAGAAAAGAATAAAGTTAATGGCTGATATGCTTCATGAGGAATCTGAATTGTTATTTGCATAACTAAAGGCGCCATCTAGCTTTAAGTTTTATCCAATTACATGTTCTTCTAGATCCTGGCCAGTTCCATGTGCTATGTTTGTTATCTTTTATCAAACTCTATTGCTATTACTAGTAAGAAGTCTTATTTTTCCACTAAAACTTTCAGGGATATTGAGAAAAAGAAGAAAAAGCAAAAAGAACAAGAAAAATCAATATGATGGAAAAGCAGTTACAGAGGTTGAACAAAATAAAAAAGAATATCACACGAGTTGGAGGAAAATGAAGCGGCTAAGTCTTCTCAATTTAGGACCTATGGAAATGGATTGGTCATAGAGGAGTTGGGAATGGGCAAGCCGGACGGGAAAAGAACTTTCCCAGGAACTAAGGTATAGTTTTCTTTTTTGGACTCTATGTGATAAATTGTTCTCTCACTCTGCCATGGAAAGTAATGAAATCTTGGTGATCACAATTAAGTCAATTAGGATTTAAGTTTCTCAATCTTTGAGTTCTCTTTGATGAACTTGTACGGAGCACACTTATTATTAATAATAATTTTCTGCCACTAAATAGGTTGGTGTATGCTATATAGGCAAGCTGAAGAAGAATGGCAAAATATTCGATTCCAACATTGGGAAGAGAACACCTTCTGAAACAAATATAATGTTACTCTTTTTTTCATACAGGCAATGCAGAGCCACATGTAATCAAATAATTCAATTGAATTCGCTACGCCGAAAAATTATAATGTGCAAATAGGAGACAAATTTTTTGTACATATATAAAAGTTTGAATTATGTGTAAATTCTGAATCCCCTTATAAGAATTTCTAGCTGCAACGTGTATAGGACCTCTCTCGCAAACTATAACAGATTAAGAATCCGAAAATTTTACCTATCGTGCATTATAATAAAAAGCATAAAATGGCAGAGAAAGCAAAATATGAGGAAAACAACAACTTTGATGGAAAGCAGTTGGTTCTGTGCATTGAAAAATTGCAAGAAACATACTGGAAACAGAACAATTATCATATAAATCTGGAAGGCGTCGAATTGAAAAGCAGAGAGATAACAAAAAGCCCATTCACAATAATTACAACTACAAATTTAGTGACTTGAGTTTACCTTGACGAGAAAGCACAGCAAGAAGACCAAATCGTATAATTAAGCTGCTTGCGTTGTCGACAGAACCCACAACAAGTAACAGAACCAATTGCTATTAGCATTGACACCCAGCTATTAGCGTTAACACCCACCTATTAGCGTTGACACCTAGCTATTAGCGTTGACACAGATTCACCACAAAGCACACAGATTATAAGTTGCGTACAGCAAGAAGACCAAATCGTTTTGTGATTTTTAGTTGAGTTTTGCTCTGTATATATAATCGATCGCTAGAACTCGCCGATGGAGTTGCGGGCAGTTGCAGCGACGGCCTATTTGTTCGTGATTCTTTGCCCTCTTTGCTGAATCTGGTGTACGCGCGTTTTTGGATAACATTAGGATTGAGAGATTTTAGGGGTTTTTTGATTAATTTGGGGGATATGGGCGGGAGTTGTTGAGGAAATAAAGGAGGAATATATATATAGTTACCGCATAAATTTTTATATTTTATTCAGATTTATAACGAGGGGATTACATATATTTGAAAGACAAGAAATTATTCCCTCGTAAAAAATATAGTAAAAAATGACTTTAACGATCGGAATAAATATTGACCGCTATAAGCATACATATAACGACTGGATTAATTTCCTTTCGTAAAGAAGTGGTCGTTAAAGACCTCTTTTCCTGTAGTGAAATTAAATATCAAATCATTTACGTTCCATAAGATGAAGTCTTTAATTAAATATGCATGGCCATACATACATAACTAATGATAAGTTCGTGGAAAAAGTTTAAGTTTGAAAGGTTACAATAAGAGTTGCCAATATTTCTGATGTTTTCACACATCACCAAACTACTTATTTTCCAATAACGTCCTAATACAACCTTCCAACTCGATTTGACTACTTAACTAGATGATACCATACGAGATTTGGTTGTATGTATCAATTACATTTAACAACCAATTTGGTTGCTTCACTCGACATAACCCTTATGAGTTATGGGTCGTTTGGTAGGATGCATTAGGAAAGATAAGTATGCTATATGTATTACCTTTGGTATTATTAATTTCTTGTTTGGTAGTATTTTCAACCTATGTATAACTAATATATAAGTATTAGTTATACGATCTATTTAATACGATTCTTATACATAGAAAACCATGGCATTAGCAATACCATAGTTTTAATACATAAATAAGCATGAATCAAGACAAAACTGATCTTTCAAAACCTTTTCCAAATTCTTTCCAAAGAATGTGAAGGGTGTTTTTGTAAATAATTTGTTTTTTTAAATAAAAATAATTATGCAATGCATGTTATTTTTAATACACCAAACTAAACCGTCGATAAAAAATAATCTCATCATAACTAGTCCCAGCATAACCAGTCCCAATATTATTAATCCTAATATTATTCAGTACTATTCTTATACACCGTGCCAAACCACCCTTTAGTTGTCAAGCTGATTGAGTATTTCCCTTTTTCTCTTCTAAAACTATGGATTATATGGACTCTTCACGTACATACATATAGTACAAGTAGATGTAGTGACACGCTTATCCACTAAATTCACTACAAGAGTTCCCTTCGCACTTAAGATATGTTGCTTCTGATCTAAGAAAAACGACTCAACTGCTACCGCTTACGTTCATACAAACAAGCCACTTTATTGTAAGCCGTGTTCTTCATGAGTTCGATCCGAAGCTTCATCTTTCACACACTAATCATTCGGCGGAGAAGTTTTAATTTTGCCATAAGACTTTGAATAAAGTTATATGTAGAAATATCTTTCTCTAGTACTTAATCGATCTAATATCCACTAGTGATGTTGTCGGCAGAACTTATGAATTACAACAATAATCATCTTACAGCTTGTTTGGATCATCGTTTCATAATGTATAGTATCGTATTGTATTGTATTGTACTGTATCGTTTGATAAATATAATATTTGGATAGATTATGTCGTTTGCCATCGTTTCATGATATCACGCACTAGCAATATGAAGAATAAAGTTGTAATATTATAAAGGAAAATTATGATACAGGGTAATATTACTATATAAAAAGGTAGGATAAATGATAAAATAAAATTATTTAATAATAATAAAGGGTGAGATTGAGAGAAAAAGACAAGGTAACAACGCGACCACACCAAATCGATCGTTACATAAAGTGACACATTTCGTCGTTATGTAACGACCGATTAACGATATGATATAATAAAATTTAAGTAACAATCAAAACAAACATCGTATTTAAAGTAACAATACGATACAATACAATGGGTAACAACCATCCAAACAAGCTGTTAAGCTATTACATTGAATTAACGAACATCTAATAATTCTTTGTTATATATCTTATCATTGTACAATTAATTGAGATTATGAAAATCAAAGGACATTCAATTGGAGTAGTACTTAGGATTTTCCCTAAACCCTTGGACCAATAAAAAAACCGCAAACACACTATATTGGTAAAAGGACTTCTTAACCAACTCTTGAAATGACTCCTGCTCATTCTAAAATACCGAGTATTATGCATTTAGTGTTAATTCTTTCTTTAATTCGCCAAACAGGCTTCCTTATCTCTCTTAATGAGTCCATGTTATTGACCCGAGATGTGTTAATCAATTGCACACCACAACTTGCTGCGGAAGGAACTAAGGAAACAACAAAATCCAGTAACTAATTTATATGACAAATAAAATTTCTGTAGTTTTTCCTATACAGACTAGCCACAAATCAATCGAAATCATTGAATTTAACTACTATAGTATCTACGTATCTAACCGAAACAATTCAAAAGGTTACAACCAAGAATGTTGAACTACTCTAAGCGGGATAATCCCCAACATTAACTCATTCTCATATGGTGTCAAATTCAAATCCAAGAATAAAGCCTTTTCAGTACCCGAAATCTTTTTCTCTGTCATCTCTACAACTTCACCAGCAGAATTATCATCACTATCCTGCTGTTTCTGTTTCTGCAATTTGTGGCGGTGCTTTCTCATGTGACCACCCAAAGCTTGTCCAAGAGAGAATTCCTCTCCACAATAGGAGCATTCATGTTTCTTCTTGTTAGGTTTAATTAGATCTGCCACTGTGTTGAGTTTTGGTTTCTTGTGACTTGCTCTGTGGCCACCCAAAGCTTGAAAAGATTCAAATTGCTTCTTACAAGTCCTGCACTCGAAAAATCTATGTGCTAATGAACTATTCTTCTCTAAGATATTGACGCAATTAGCCATGGCTAATGTCTCCACTGTCAATTCTTCTTCTCTGCTTCTCTTTATTGTCATGGCAATAGTATAGTATTGGGGCGGTGTGTGGGAATATTAGTGTGGGTAGTTATATATAGTTTCTAAAGTTTCTTGAGCCCGAAGAAACTATTGCTAAGACCATTTTCCGCTTTAAACTCAGTTTTGGATTCGCTTAATTACTACACGCTAGTACACACGGTTACCATTTTTTTTTCTAAAGTTTAATTTAGTAGTATGTAAATTACACTAAAGGCCCCTATAATATGACTCAATTGCAGATGCACCCTTTTTATTTTGAGATCATATATAATTCAATCCCTTGTACAATTATGAAAATCCTACGTAAATATTAGTTTGACTAATGTTTTCATTTGGTAATGCTTAAGTGTTTAGATTTGGAAAACATGAGAGATATTTATAACTTAATGTATTAACATATGATATGTTAAATTTAAAAATATAAAGTTTCATGTATCTTCCAAAATTCTTAATTAGAAAATGACCACATATTTATGCATGTAATAATTTTTATGATCAGTTGCTTGTAATAATTTTCTTGCATTTTCAACATGTAAGCTATTGATCTTTTAAAAAAAAAAAGAATTATAGTACTATTTAATATACAGAAATTTCACGTGTTTTCTTTTACTTAGATTGCTTTTCTATTATACCACTTCAATTTTTTTTAAAATTAAGCTTAATTAGACAGATGTTCTTTGAGTATAATTCATTATATAAAGAGTATAAAGTATTTGATTTGCAAAATATAGATAACGCCTTTATATTTGTGTATAGTTTGTATTATATATGAAGTGTAAGTGCTTGATTTTAAAATACAGAAAACATATCTACAACTAAGATATAGTACAAAGATGTTTAGCGTAATTTCTTGTGTGATTTACCTAAAACTTTAAGTTTAATAACCCGATAGAATTGGTTTGGTTTGGTAATTAGAAAATCCGAACCAACCCGACGTATGTACACCCGTCGGTTTTTCAATCTCGGTTTTTCTCGAGTTTTCGGGTTTAATCGGGTTCTTTTCCATAAAGTCTTCATAGCAAAAAATATAAAATGTGTGCTCCAAATATTTCTTTAATCCTAGTAAGATAGAACTATATAAGGTATTTTTCAATAAAATAACATAAATATGAGATGAGTCATGGCATTGTACTAAAATATTCAACAATAAAAATAATAAAATCGCATAAAATAAGTACTATCAATAAGCCATAATGAAAACAACATAATTTAAAATTACTAATAAGTTGCTAAAATAAGTACGACTAATAAGTACTACTCCCCCCGTTCCAATTTATGTGAACCTATTTGACTGGGCGCGGAGTTTAAGAAAAAATGAAGACTTTTGGAATTTGTGGTCTTAAACAAGTCAAAATGGGGCCCAGAGTATTCGTGCGGTTATAAAGGCTTCTCATTAAGGGTAGAATTATAAGTATAAGTTAAATTGTTACCAAATTTAGAAAGGAGTCATTCCTTTTGAAACGGACCAAAAAGGAAATAGGTTCAAATAAACTGGAACAGAGGGAGTATTATTTACATGACTAAACACTAAAAGAAAAATAAGTTATGCATTTTATCTAAACCACAAAAAACAAACAAAAAATATTCAACACTATTTTCATTCATAGTACAATTGAATTGAATGTCTTTTATTAGTATTAATATTAATTTGATAATGATTTAAGATTTATTTGAGTTACTAACATTAATGAACTATATGTGATGACCCAAAAGGTCATCATTTATTTTAAAAATAAATTCAGTGTTCCGAGGCCTAAAAACCTCCTCTTTACCTCACCTCGACTTGCGTGCGTGGTCCAGACCTATATCCGGAAAGGCTTCTATGTGAAAATATGAGAAATAGAAATTTCTAGAGTTAAAATTTAATTTTGGTTGACTTTAGTCAACATTTTTAGCAAACGGATCCGGATCCGTGTTCCGACGATCCCGGGAGGTCCGCAGTAAAATATGGGACTTGGGCGTATGCCCGAAAATGAATTCCGAGGTCCCAAGCCTTAGAAATCAATTTTTGAAAGAAATTATTTTGCTGAATTATCTAAGAAATGAAGAAAAGAATTAATGTTTGAAACCATTGGTATCGGGCCCGTATTTTGGTTCCGGAGCCCGGTACAAACTTGTTATAGTATTTAAATGATAACTGTAAAATTTGGTAAAAAATAGAGTTTATTTGACGTGAGTTGAACTTTCGATTGAAGAGTTATGAACTTTGAGTGTTCTTGATGAAATGTTGAGTTTTGAGGTTTAATTCATGATTTTACAAGTAATTTTGATGATATGATCGCACGAGTAGGTCTATATGATGTTTCTGAGTTAGTATGCACGTTTGGTTTGAAGTCCCGAGGGCTCGGGAGAGTTCGGGTAGGTTCTGGGATGTTTTAGGCTTAAAACATAGCTGTTGCAGGTCCAGAGATGTTGCAGATCTCTAAACCCGCCAGTGCTGACCGCATTGATTTTGTGCTGACCGCGGAGGGGCCTTTGCGGCCGCACTCCTTTTTGTGCGATCCGCAGTGAGGAAGAATTTCACTGGTCTGACTTCAGAAGCCCATATCTTTTGATCTACAAGGAATTTTGGGATAATTCAAAACGAAAGTTGTAGTCCTTCGTGTCTAGTTTCCAGCAAGATAAAGAAATCACAATTTGGACATCTGTAGAGAAAATTATGGCCAAAATACTAAAGCATGTCACTGCAGTCAACATTGTGAGCTCCGCGGCCGCACTCGATTTTGTGCGGTCCGCACAGAGGGTCTGAGAGGGGTATATTTAAACGATATTTTCAGTTATTTTTCATTTTTCAAAACCCCAAAAACATAAGAGACGATTTTTCAAACAACCTTTCTTCTCCAAAACATTAGTAAGTGATTTCTAACTCATTTTCTTTTCTCCTTAACTTCTTTTTACAAGATTTCATCCTAGAATCTAGGGTTTTCATGGTGGAATTGGGAATTTTGGGTAAAACCTAAGAATATTTAAATTTGGGGATTTAGACCTCAAATCGAGGTCGGGTTCCAAAACCAATTATATATCCGGGCTCGGGGGTAAATGGGTAATCGGGTTTTGGTCCGAATTTCGGGTTTGGACCAAGCGGGCCTGAGGTCAAATTTTCACTTTTTCGGAACAACTATAGAAAACTTATTTCCATGCATTAGAATTGATTCATTTAGCACTTATTAATATTATTAAGTAACTTGTGGCTAGATACGAGCGAGTTGGTGGTGGACTTAAGAGGTAAAGCGATAGTTGAGGCTTGAATTGTGTTCAAAGCATCGAGGTAAGTGTTTTGTCTAACCTTAGATCGAGGGATTAGGAGTTGAGTCGTATTTGCTGCGTGCTAATTGTTGAGTACGACGTATAGCCATGGTGACGAGTATCTATACGTTGGTGTCAAGCATGCCCGTGAGTCTTGTAATGTAATTGTTGTGACTCCGTTGTGGTTTATTGTGCTTCATATGAGGATTATCATTATTGTTCCCTTGCCGGGATGTTATTTTCATATTATTGTTCCCTTGCCGGGATGTTATTTTCATATTGTTGTTCCCTTGCCGGGATGTTGTTGTCATATTATTGTTCCCTTGCCGGGATGTTGTTGTTATAGTATTGTTCTCTTGCCAGGATGTTGGTGTTATATTACTGTTCCCTTGCCGGGATGTTGATGTTATATTACTGTTCCCTTGTCGGGATGTTGCTGTTATATTGTTGTTCCCTTGCCGGGACGTTGTTGCTATATCATTGCCCTCTTGCCGGGATGCTGTTGTTATATTATTGTTTCCTTGCTGAGATTCTTTTATGGTTGGTGTTGAAATATGAAATGGGAGCAGGTTGCACGCCTGCAACGGTAATAAATGAAATGGGAGCGGGTTGCACGCCTGCAACGGTAATATATGAAATGGGAGCGGGTTGCACGCCTGCAACGATAACATATGAAATGGGAGCGGGTTGCACGCCTGCAACGGTTATATATGAAATGGGAGCGGGTTGCACGCCTGCAACAGAAATATATGAAATGGTAGCGGGTTGCATGCCTGCAATGGAAATATATGAAATGGGAGCGGGTTGTACGCCTGCAATGGTACTATATGAAATGGGATCTGAAATTGGAGCGGGTTGCACGCCTACAACGGTACTATATGAAATGGGATCGGGTTGCACGTCTGCAACGGTATTACATGAGTGCTTGTTCTTCTTATTTCCTTATTTTTGCTGGTAATTGATTTATGGAATTCCTCACATTTCTCTACTGTTGTTCTGTTGTTATCTGGTACTCCCCGCAGCATGTTTGTCACGACCCGGATTTTCCACCATCGGGAGTCGTGATGGCGCCTACTAATAGGTGCTAGGCAAGCCAAGCATTTAAACATTTTTCTGATAACATCCCAACAATAATAATAATACGAGTCATTCAAATAAAAGCGGAAGTCTTTAAAAACATAGATAACTGAAAACCCAAAGATGCGGAAGTTTAACATTTCTCTACCCAAGACTGGTGTCGCTAACTCATGAACTACTAAAGAGTGCTAAAAACAAGTTTGAATAGAAATACATCAATGTTTGTCTCGGTAAAAGGAAAACAAACTATAACAAAGAAAGGGACTCCGGCCTGCGAACGCCAGCTAGGCTACCTCGTAAGTCCCAGGACTGAAGTCAGCTCCCGATCAATATCCTACTGCTGTGGTCCAAAAGCTGCTCCGGTACCGTGATCTGTGCAAAAGAGCACAGAAGTGTAGCATCAGCACAACCGACCCCATGTGCTAGTAAGTGCCTGGCCTAACCCCGGCGAAGTAGTGACGAGGCTAGATAGGACTACCAAACCAACCTGTGCAGTTCAATATATATAAATGCAATAAAAGGAAAGAACAAAAAAGTCAAACAGTTAAGAGGGAGGGGAGCATACTATGGGGAAAATACAGTCCGGATATAAAGTCAACAATTTAAGTAAGCAATAAGGCAATAATAATAATTAATGAGAGCAGGAAAGTCAACAGTTACACGGCATCAACCTTCGTGCTTTTACCCTCATCCTCACC